TGAGATATAAGTCACATATTGGAAAGTTCGCCCTCGTAAAGTGTACAATTTAGTGGTTTTTAATATAGTCACAGAGTTGTGCAGGCATCACCATTGTCTGATTCCAGAACATTTTCATCGCTCCAAAAAACCCCGTGCCAGTGCGCGATCCCTCCCCATCCCACCCGCAGACTGGCAGCCGCTTATCTCGGCCTGGACAGTTCACATCTCGGAGCCGCGCTCTGAGTGGCCTTGTGTGCTGGTTGCTTCCCCGGGCGTTGGAGTTGTCACCCCTTGTTGGCTGTCACGCACAGCACTGCTGTGAATAACACTTAGGAGTGGGATCCTGGGGTCACATAGTGACTTCGTCATTATCAGGACGTTCCAGGCTCTCTTCACAGCGGCTGCCCTAACTGGCGTGCCCGCCCGCTGTGCAGCCTTCACGTTTACCTGTGATCTGAGGGCCCGCACAGTTCTCTCTCCCCAACACCCTGATTTCCTTGTTGTGATACATAGGCCTTGTCATCAGAAAGAAGCCAACCTTTAGTCTTTTCCCCTCGTCACACAAGTAATTATCCATTAATGTAAAAAAAGTTGAGAAGATGAAGGTAAAGGAGAAGAAAATGTTAAGATGGCCCCTCCTGTTATTGGCTGGGGGGCGGGGGCGGGGCGGCCACTTTACAGCGTTGTTTCAGAGGCTGTGAGATGTCCGTAGACCCGCTGCCCATGGTCTGTGATCTTATTACACTTTCTCCCACCACGGGGCTGGCGGGTTCGTTCCGGTTCTTACCCTGTTCTAAATCTTGCTGTGGCAAACCCTGCAGGAAGCATTTTCCGAGGTTTGGGTTTTCCCCGCAGATTAGCTTATGAAGTGGGCTTCCCCAGGCAGGGGCCGTGAGCTCCACAGCGGCATCAGCTGACTGGGCCCTCGTCACCCGGATTGTGCATGTTGTACCCGGCTCTCGGCCCGCTAGGGGCTGGGGCCCGATGGGTCCGAGGGCCGGTCTGCCCTTCCCGTATGGGTCTCACCACTTCCTGCAGTGGGTCCTAGAAGGGGGGTGGTCGTGGGGGTCGGATTTGGGGTGCACTGCGTTCTGTCCCTCGAGCCTCTGCTCTGTTAGTTGGCCTGTCACCCACCCGTTGGCAGCACATGTCTGTGCCTGGCACTGTCGTGGGGCCCCCGGAGGGTCTCGGCAGGGCCCTGGAGGCCGGGTTCATCCCCTGCCCCATGACCTGCAGCGAGGCCATGGGCCCGGGAGGGAGGCAGGGTAGCATCCTCCTTTGTCCCCCGGCTGCCAGGGTCCTGGGAGTCGTCTCAGCCCTGAGTCCCGCACCACCAGCGCTGAGTAACTCCTGGCTGCTGTCCAGGAGCTCCCTGCTGTTGCTGCAAGGGACCCGGGAACTGGCCCCGCTGCGTCCGTGAGCCTCAGTCTCCCCGTCTGTGAAACAGGTGTTGTCATAGTGCCCCGCCTTGGAGAGACCCTGCATTTCACACGGTTCCTTCCAGGCCCTGTAGCAGAATCTGCCCGCCCTGCCTCACAGCCTCCTTGCTGACCCCGGGCCTTTGCACCCACTGTCCCTGCTGCCTGCGTCCCTCTCCCTCCACGTTGCTTGTCCAGGCCTCTGCCCCTGGCCCCCGGGGAGCGGCCCCTCCAGCCCCTCTGTGTTGCTTGTCCAGGTCTCTGCCCCTGGGCCCCGGAGCGGCTCCTCCAGCCCCTCTGTGTTGCTTGTCCAGGCCTCTGCCCCTGGCCCCCCCCGGGGAGCGGCCCCTCCAGCCCCTCTGTGTTGCTTGTCCAGGCCTCTGCCCCTGCCCCCCCCCGGGGAGCGGCCCCTCCAGCCCCTCTGTGTTGCTTGTCCAGGCCTCTGCCCCTGGCCCCCGGAGCGGCCCCTCCAGCCCCTCTGTGTGTGTCGTGGCACTTACGTTGTCTGAAATCACCTTTTCTTTCCTGTGCTCATTGGTTTTCTGTCTCCTGGACTGGCAGGGACCTCCCCATGAGGCAGGGGCCGCAGCCTGTTTACCACAATGTTATCCGGTGGGGGTGGGGGTGACTGGGACAGGTGGGGAGAAGCGGGTTTATTACGTCAGTGTCTCGGGAGATGCGCACAGCACACCCCCAGCCTGTGGAGCCGCTAACCCTCCCGCCTTATCTTCTCGTCGGGCCCAGATGCAGTTGGGCTCAGATACAGTGACGGAAGCTGCCTTGGTTTTGTCGTCGACCCCTCCCCACCCCCACTGTGGGGTGGATCTGGATCCCGCTGTGCAGAGGGAGAGGCTGGGGCTGGGTCGAGGGCCGTGCAGTAGGCAGGGGTTGTGATGACGTGCAGGGCGCGAGAACCGGCTCAGGGAATCCTCTGTGCGTTTTCTTGGGGACCCCCCTCCTGTCCGCTCCTCACTCTGCGTGCTCATTCCCGCAGGTGCCTCCAGGGCCCTCGGCCTCCTGACGGGGCCGCCTGGCCCCTGCCGTGGCCTCCAACCAGAGCTTGTCCGCCTTACCACCGGCCTCACCTCTCGCCACTGGCTCCATTCCCGTGAGCTGCCTGGTTCAGGCTCCCACCTTCCCGTCAGATTTCAGCAGTTCTCGCGTGCTTGATGGGGGTGTCTCCCTCTTCGTGTCCCGACGGTCTGCTCACTGCCGGGTCCAGGGGGTGCTTGGGCAGCTCCGCCCAGAGGTGGCCCAGGCCCTGACAGGCCTCTTTGAGGGGCGTCTCCTTCCCTGGCCTCCTGGCTTGTCTTGCCCTTGGATTGCGTCCCTGCTCTTAGAGTCCTTGTGACCATTTGCTGAGCGTCAGGACGGCGGAGCGGGTGAGCCACGTGGCCTGCATCCCTCCTCTGCTCCTGGGTGCCTTCACCTCTGTGCCCTGACCCCGGGTGGGGGGGGAGTGGTCACGTGGGGCGCGTGGGCACAGATTAATGTAGGGCTGCCTCTGACTGTGGGACCTGGGCCCGCCTTCCCTCCTGGCCCGCGAGCTCTGCGGCAGGCCTGGCCTCTCCGGTTACTGCCCGTCTCCTGGTCTCAGGACTCTGTGAGTGAGCGCTCGCGAGAGCCAGGCCCAGACCCTGAGCGGCAGCTCTGCTGGTTCTGGGCACAGACTTGGAGCCGGGACGGTCTGCCTTCATGTCCCGGCTCTGCCGCCCCTGCCTCGGAATCCTCACGGCTGGGGGTGACGGTCACACCTGCCCAGAGGGTTGCATCAACCACTGAGAACAGTACCTGGGGGCTTGTGAGCGACTTGCTCGGCACAGCCGCGTGTGTTTATTCCTTAACTAAACAGGCCGGTTAAACAGGCCAGTTCTTTGAGCTTCTGGCAGATGTTAGCAGAGGTTACTGAGGGGCGGGCCATGGAACGGGCTTCTTTCAGTGCCTGGATGGTGGTGAGCCCCTTGTTACTGGGGGATTCAAGAGAAATGGGTCAGGCTTGTTGTGCCAGGGTGTGAGATGCTTGGGGCTGGATGGCTCCGTTCCCAGATGCCAGTTCCCCCAGCTGGAGTGGGGGACAGAAGGACTGTGTGGGGAGAGGTTCTCTGAGCTGCGTGCATGCAGACAGACGGGCCTTGGTTTGCACCTGAAGGGGCCTGAACACGAGAGGAGGAACCGAGGCGCCGCCCCGGGTCCCAGTCAGTGTGCCCCTTCTTGTCAGAAGGCCTGCCTGCCTGCCAGCGTCCTGCTGCGGGCGGGGGGGGTGTCACACCAAGGTGCAGGGCCCAGCGGGGACCAGAATGCTGTGGCCCCAGTACCAGGCTCCGCTGCCAGGGCTGGGTGCCTGCCCACACCTCCCTGCCCTGCACACTGAGTCCAAGATGCAGGCAGAGCCCTGCCGGCTCCGCACCTCTGCACAGCCTGGAGCCCAGGCCTGGCAGCTCCTGCCCTGCCCACCCTGCAGGGGCCAGAGTAGGAAGGGGAGGAAGGCTGAGCTGTGCGCCCCAAGGGCCAGGCTCTGCCACATGGCGTTGCCCCGGGCAGCGGCGGGGAGTGGAAGTGTGGGCTCTGGAGGCAGGCCACACAGTATGTGAGGGATGTGCACGCCAGTGTCCACAGCAGCTGTGCTCACTTTAGCCAAAGGGGAAACACCCAGGCTCTGTCTGTCACCCAAAGAACAGAGAAACAAACAACACGTGGTCTGTCCCTGCAGGGGAGCATTACTCAGCCGTGAAAAGGAAGGAAATTTTGACACGCTGCTCCGTGGGTGAACCTTGAGAGCGTGCCACTCAGCAAGAGAAGCCAGACTCCAGAGGCCACGTGCTGTGTGATGCCATTCATAAGAAATGACCAGGGTTAGGGCGAGTGGTGGCCAGGGGCTGGGACCAGAGCGGCTGGTGCTCCTCCCGTGCAGGTCCCCGGAGGGTCCATCGTCGCCGTGTCCAGGCCTGGTGTGGAGTCTTGCTTGGCTGGCCCATGTCTAGAAGCAGACCTCAGACTGTGAGCTGCCCGGACGCTCAGTGCCCACGTCACCTGTCTCCCTGTCACACACTGTCACGTCTCAGTGGGGTTTGCCTCATCCTGGTCCAGGGAGAGGCCTTAGGACGGACCTGGCAGGGGAGCCCTTCTGGCCTTGATTGTTGGGATGGGCCCTGGCCTGGAGTGGATTTAGGGTTCCCTTGCTTGGGGTGAGAGCTCCGTCTGTACTTGTATCGCGTAGACTTCACGGCCCATGTGTCGGGCCGTCCTCCATCTTCCTGGTGAGGAAACCGAGTGCGGGGGTGGAGGGGGTCTCTTGCCCCGGCCCCAGCTGGTCAGCGGTGGAGCTGGGATGCTAGCCCCGGCCAGGTGGCTGCAGCCGGAGCACTTCCTCCTCACCCAGGTTGCGTGTGGCCTCGGGCCAGACCCCGGTCCAGTGGGGGAGCAGAGGGCCATCTCTCCCTTGGCCCTTAGGTCCCCGCCGCCATGCACCTCCTGTCTGCTGGGCCTGAGCCGGGTGCTTAGAGCCCACATAGCACCTGTCCCCCCACCCCGGGGCCCTCCGTCCAGTCTGGCGTCCTGTAAACTCTGTCCTCTGTCTCGTCCCCTTCTAACAGGGACCCAGATATGGAGCTGCGGGAAGAGGCGTGGTCTCCGGGGCCGTTGGATTCTGAGGACCAGCAGATGGCCAGCCATGAGAACCCAGGTGAGGCGGCCTTGGGGAGTTCTTCCCAGCTGGTCCCTCACCCTTCCCTGGACCCTCGCTTCCTTTGTCTCCCCTTCCCCTCCCGTGGCTCGGGGCTCACCATCCTTCCTCTGGGGGCTCAGCCAGGCTGCCTCCCGGGCCTGTGTGGGGTCTCCGAGTTCCCTCCCAGCTGGGAGCCCCTGGGGGCTGCCCCCTCCCCTCGCTGGGTGCTCGGCACCGTTTCCAGGTGGCCCCTTGGACCTCCCGGGCGGGATGCTCTTTAGACCAGGGTGGCAGGCCCACATACCCGTGGGCCAGGACGTGGAGAGCTGGGGACAAACTGTGATGTGTGGGGAGCGGCAGGCTCACAGGGCAGGGCCAGTGACCATCCTGGGGGACAGCCGGGTGTCTGGGTTTTTATGGGGCTTGTATCTTTCTGGGGTTTTATCTGTCACTCTTTAAATATTGGCCACATGTTTTGTTTGACAAAGCGTTATTTGGGTTGAATAAAACTCATCTTTGAGCCCTCGGGGACTAGGCTTTGCTTGCTGAGACCCCACCTGGGCCCGCTGACCCCTTCACGGCCTCACCCCTTGCCCTCTGGTGAAGATGCGCTCCCCGTTTCCAGGGGTTTTCATGCAGGGCACCTGAGAAATAAAGTATGAGCTCTTTTTCTTGCTGCTTTTGATGCGTCTTCGTGCGGGCATCCCGTCCTCGTGCGTTTTGGACGGGGTCAGCCAGCATTTCTTGCTGTGAGGGGCCAGAGGGGAGGTGTTTTCGGCTTTGTAGGCCTTGTGCCCCTGCAGTGTGGAAGTGAATGGGCGCGACCATGTTATTCATAGAACAGGCTCTGAGATCGTGATCCAGGTGCCAGCGTGTCGTAGTCGTCCAAGAGAGGTTACGAGGGCCTGGGCGGGCCGGGGATAGATTGCATAAAGCACGCGAGCCCCTTTGCCTGATCTAGTTCTAAGATCCACTGAGGGGTTAAGGGAAGCTCCTTGGGCTGGCTCCGGGCAGCCGTGGTTACACAGGAGGAAACAGATTTCAGGGCACATGGCGCGTGGGGCACAGACCCTCCACCACCCAGCAGGAGGGCGCACGGCCCATCCTTCCCCATTTCTTGCTGCCGGGCCTGCCCCTTCCTCCTTTCCCTGTCTTTTAGCCTCTTTAAAATTAATTTTACAGTCTGGTTCATGCTGAGAATTTCAGACATCGGTAGTGTGGTGATTGCCTTCCCACTGCCTAGAGCCTATAGCCTATAGCCTATAGCCTTAGCGTGAGCAGTGCCTTGCGGTCTTTTCCCCAGTTGTGCCTGCTTTTCCTTCTGGAGAATTTTAAAGAAAATCCCAGATATTGTATCATTTCACCAACAGATTCTCCAGCAATAACAAACGCTCATCTCACCTGACGAAGCGTTGCCCAGTGTGTGAAGGTGTCCCCAGCTGTCTCCAAAATGCATGTTTGCCTTGAAGTAAGGTGGTTTTAATTTTACATTCCGTCCACTAACTCATTCTCTTGAGGAAACCTCTACAAAGCACAAGTGGGTTCTCATATCCCCTTTGTCCGGCCTGCTGTCCCCGACCCAACCCCCCACCGGAGTCTGTTGCAAGTCTGCTCCGGCCCCTCCCTGTGTGGTGCCCCCAACCGCATGACACCCCTTCTCTCAGCTTGTAAGCCGTGTGGCCTGGATGCCTCCAGGCTGCTGTGCGTCCCCTGGTTCTGGGCCTGCCCTGTTGGGTCCTACCTCTGTGGCAGCCTCCTGTGATGGGACAGGGCCGGACCCCTGCCCTGAGACCCCCGCCCCGGCTAATGCCTGGACGCAGGAGCAGGAGGCTTGGGCTGGCGGTAGCCCCTGTAGGCTGTTTCCCTGTTGGGTCGGGACGAGGGGTCCGTGAGCAGGGCTGTGAGCGCTTCCTGTGTGCCCCGAGCTTGAGGCCAGCCACCTCGGCAGGGCCTCTCATGGAATCCTCATACCCTTCGAGCTCGGGGTGCTGATCGGAGGGTGCTGGGCAGAGAGAGGCCAGGCCACCGCCCAGGGTGAGGCAGCTGGGAGCCAGTGGAAGGGGACTGGGGGCCTGGACTGTCCATAGGCTGCAGCCAGAGTCTGTTGCACTGCCTCACTGGCGCACTGACCCCGGCCCACCGCCTGCAGGTGCAAAAGCTGTCCAGGCTCGGCCTGGGCGGCCTTAGCTACAGGGTGTTCAGAAAGAGAAGCCATCCAAAAATGAATAATAAAGAGACATCCCAATTCTGAGGCAGGAAAGAGTCTTCAGCTGGTGTGTTGGAAATCACCCACCAGGGACAGGGTCCCGGCCTCCCACTGTCAAGCCCACCTCTCACGTCTCACTGCCCTCCAGAATGACCCCGCAGAGTTCACCGCAAATGCCACGTCTGAGCCGGATGACAGGAGACCTACGTAAAAGCACAGCAGCTGCCTGTGGGCAAAACCCATGTTCCCGGGTCACACTGGCAGCACCTTAGGTGCAAAGCCCCCAATACAGCTGGATGGGGACAAGCCAGCAGCCGGGCCAGTGTGGTGGTAGCAGGGGTGGGAGGGGAGGACGCCCCAGGTAGCCCTCGGGGGGGGGGGGGGT